TAATTAGTTTCAAGTAATCGTCAAGTCAAATGTGACATTTTAGTGTGTTTTTTTAATTCTACAATTTTTATGATTTTAAAATTTTTTTTTAATTATTTAAATGCTTAAAATTGGCTAAAAAATGAAGTATTTATTTTAATTCCAATTTTATTTTTCTTAGGTTTCTCTTGTCATAAGGAGCTCCCAAAACTAATTTGGTGATTTTTAAAATTGTATTTTAATTATTATAATTATTTTAATGCCCAAAAATGTCATTTCACTTAATTAGTCCATTTGAGTGATCAAATTAACTCCAATTGTCTTGTAACTTTTATGGGGAGTTCATCTAATATTAAATTATAGTGGAGAATAATTTTTATGTCATTTACATTTATAATTAGTCTAATTTAATTTTTATTCATTTTTAGGAGTTGCTGACAATCAAAGTTATTTTTAATGAGTTAAATCATATTTATATTTTTCCTAGAGTCCTCTGACTACAATGAACCTACCAAATAATTTTTGTATTCTTATGATGAGTATTTTAATTTTTATAATTATTTTACCAAAATAGGCATGATATACTTGAAAAATAGAGATCTCTGTCTAGAGATCTCCCCTAACCTTAAAAAAATCAGGGAAGATCCCTCATGACAGAGAAAATCAAAACCCCAAAAATCATGTTATGGTAAAATGTCTATGCAAATAGAGAATCCAAATAAGAAAAACACCATTTAATTAATTAAAAATCATACATGCATCAAACATACATGAAACCATTTCCACATTATTCTCCTTTGTTTACTAAGTAAGAATGTATTTTTATTTTATTTTTTTGATTTTCTTACACCAAGATATGCATTTTCTAAGTTTTTGGAATTAAATAAATCAATTAAATCCCTATTTTCTACTTATCCAACGCGGCGCCACCTCATCCTTGGCATCTTTGAGCTTTCCATGCGACATCTTCTGGTTCGGCGTTGCCGGACACCTCAACGCTGACTCTGCCTGTAGTTCATGTTCCACTCCTTCATCCAGCTCCATCACGACCGTCCACTCGATACACACGGAAATGGAAGACATCCATTCATCATATCTGAATCCCTAACCCGAGAACCGTCCAACTTCAAACCTTAATATCTCTCTCGATACTTAACCAAATTAAGTGTGGTTTGTTCTTATAGACTCGTCTTAACTAGGAGAACATACCCATACGGTTGATCAAGTCTTAAATTAAGTCTATAAGCATGGGTAATTAAATGAAGCTCGGTATAAGGGGAGAGTTCAATACCTTTGCCCAAGAGGTGTGGCCTCAATTGGGTGCTTCCAAAAGCTTGCCTTGAGTCCAAAGAGCTCCTAGATGAAGCCTCAAGCAGTGATGAAATGCCTAGGTATGATTTCGACCAAGGCCAATTTGGGGTGTTGATTAAAGTCCACCTTAGGGTGGTCTGGTGATGGGGCTTTTATGGGGGATCTTCTTCTCTCACTCAGGGGATGGTGTGGGTGAAATTAATTTAAATTTGATGGATTCTAAAAGCATGTCCTGTTTTGGGCTTGATTTTGAGCTCCAAAATTGAGCTCAGTCAGTGGATTTGAGGGCTTGAGGATGGTTGGATTGAACTTAGTGGGTCTTGAAGAAGCTCTGGGATCAATTTGGTAGAGTCTCCCCAAGGAATTTCAAGCTCCCCCCTTGGTCCTGGAGGGTGAGTTTAAATAGGGGGCCTTGGAGACTTCAATTGGGGCAACCATTGGGTGGCTCTGGCTGCTTAGGTGGAGGGAAGAAAGAAGCAACAATACAATTGGGTTGAACCAGCTTGGATGGGTTCAATTTTGAGTTTTAGCTAAGGTGTAGCTTTTGGATTTGGGTTTTCCGGCAGCCAAGGTGGTCGACTGGCCCGGCTTCGACTGGCCAGGCTCAGGTGACAATTTGACTCAGGGAGGTCAAGGCTTGGTTTTGGTGAAGTCAATTGGGGTTGGCCATGTGTAAAGGTCTTGGATTGAAATGAAATGGGGTAAGAGATATTTTGGGTCAAATTAGGTCAAGTCATGGTTTGGGGTTGGGTTCACTCACCAAGGAGGGTTTGGATGCTGAGGAAAATTAGGTGGTTCATTTGGGTTAGCATGGTGAAGTCCCCATCCAAGTGGATTAGGGCTAATAGTGTGCTTAAGTGAGTCATGGGAGTGGTTAATCATGTATGAGGGGACCACAAAAGAGGCTCCACCTTTTGGCCAATATAACATGGTGACATGAGCATGACTTATATAGCTGCATGTGGCTTGGAGATGACTTCATGGCTTGTCTTTGGCTTGACTAATTTTCATGAGAAGGGATTTTGGATTTATGTGGTATTTTTGGTGAAGTTTGTCATGAGGCCTAATATGGAATGATTTGATCATAAATTTAAAACTTAGGGAATGACTTTAATGAAATGGATGATTGTATGAAGAGAAAAATTATCATGTGGGCTTTAGATTTGGGCTTTTGGAATTAGATGTGGTGGGCTTGAGATTTTAAAATTAGAGGTGAATTTGGGCTAAAATTTCGGTCAATTAAATGTTGAATTTGGTGTAGAGAGATGTCATGAGGAATTTGGAAAGGGTTTCAAGTGATTTTGAATTGAATTGGAATGTTAATTTGGTGGATTTAGACATATGGTCAAAATTGGGGCCTTTTTATTTGGGTGAAATTAGGCTTTCAATTGGATCAACTTGAGCTTGTATTTGGCTTCAATTGGTATTAGGGATGTTGAATTTTGATTTGGAATTGAAATTGGGCAACATTGGGGTCATTTGGGCTAAGATTGAGGCTAATATGAGGAAATTGGGTCTTTAAGGGCAAATTGGAGTTTTTGGTCAAATTGAGTCAATGTGTTGGTTAAAAATTAAAATTGGGAATATTTGGGATTTTCTTGGAGTTTTTGAATTTTTTTTAAAATTTTGGGTCATGAGGGGCATTTTGTTAATTTTGGCAATTTTGAGGGTATTTTAGAAATTGGTGATTTTGGTCAATTTAGGTAGTGGCGAGTGACTTGAAATGATTTTTGGACAAATTTGAGTATTTTAGGTAATTTTGGAAATTTTGGCAAAAATTAGGGTTGTAGGAGTATTTTGGTCATTTGGTGATTTTGGGCTAAGATGAACAAGTAAGCCATGAAGCCATGTCAAACTAATAGGAGCCATATAAGGACTCATTTTAGATGCTCAATATGCTGGTCCTAACCTTCTTAGCCAAGGGCTAGGGGTTTGGGTCCATCCATATGAGTTTTCTAAAAGGAGTCAGGAGACCAAATCAACTGCAAGTGGGCTTAGGGTTTGGGGTGTGTGAGAATGTGTAGTGTGTGTAAGCTAGCCTAACCAAAGATCGGACCACCCAGGGTTAGTCCTAAGGCTTGACCATCCAATGGGGACTCTCTTTGAGCTCCATCATATTGACCCCACCAGCTAAGTGCTAGAGGTTAAGACCGACATGCGGAACTTCAAGTTGAGCAAAAAATAGTATAGAATTTCTAATGGCGAGGGTTCCTTTTCTAGTCCTCTAGGAATAGTCAACAGGAAAGTCCTATGGCTAGACCCTAGGCTACTGAAGAGGAAAAATTAGACCTCAACCAATTAGACCTCAACCAAAAATGAGGTGTCAATTGACAGTTTTAGAAAAAAAAAAAACAATAACATGTTAAGTAGTATTAATGTGAAGATTATAGGCATTGCTAAAAAGACAGAAAGTTTGAGAAATAAGGTTGAGATGATGAAAATCAGTCTTATTGAAAATAAGAATATCATCAACATAGATCATGTGATTTATATTTAACTATATTGTCTCTGGGCAAAAGGTAATCAAATATAACAGAAAGTGTATTCATAACAATGGCAAATAAGTATGATGAGAGTGGACAACCAACCTTTAATCGAGAAGAAGAAGAAAATAAATCTTTTAATTCACTATTTATAATAATAGAAAAATTGACAGATGAAGTACAAACAACAATCTAGTTAATAAATAACCAGGAATACCAATTATATGTAATCAGTTATATAAAAATTGTCTATTAATTTTATCAAAAACTTTCATGATATCAAATTTAGCACAATTCTTAAGCACAAATGCTGGAATTAAAACAATAAAGAAGCTCATTAGCAAGAATTTATTATGAGCAATGTCTCTATCTTTAATAAAAATAGCTTGGGTAGGATGAATGATTTTAGGGAGAATCACTTCAAATTTCTTAACCAAGAGAATAACACTGATTTGATAAAAATTATAAGATAAAGAGATAGGTAGATAGTCAGAAAAAATGATTTGACATCAGATCTTTTAGGTATGAGCACAATAACCGAATGTTTAACCATATAGGGAAGCTTAACAATGATAAAAAAATAATTAATAACAAAAATATAATCATTATCAACAAAGTCCTAAACATTTTTAAAAAATTTCGAAGTAAAACTAGAAACTTTATTGAAACTAATAGAAAAAAACTTTCTTAATATACTCCACAAAAAACTAAGTAAATAAGAAGTATCATCTTAAAAAAAAATAATGCTTAATAAGAAAAAATCCCCAAAAAAATATTTATTATTAACATGAACGTTAAGCAAATTAAAATAAACAATAATAACTTCATTAATAATATATATATACCTCATTAACCAATTTTTTTTAATAAAATTAGAAATAAGTCTAATTTTAATTTACTTTTAAAATTTAATATCTTCCTTACCTTTAGATAATTAAGAACATTCAAGGTCTAAATTCAATTTAAATGCAATTAGAGTTTCATAAATTTTAACACTGATTAATCATAAAATATTAAAGTAGACTCGTTTGATACGTGACATCTGACGCCACATCATTTGTGCTCAAATTGCTCCAGTTCGAAACCCTTGCCTAGGAAAAATTATTTCATACGGATCGGACACCGCACGTATCTTGTGTGGAGTGTGTATTTCGATGTACTCCACCTATTTTTTTTTTTTTTAATTTAAATAATACTGACGGCGGCATGCAATAATTTCTCCTCGCCTAGAGATTCGCCTCTCCTGGTTTTGCCCAAACCCCCCTTTCTGCCCAAAACCCTCGCTTAGCCCTCCCTCTCCAGCTTTCGTGACCGAATCCTCGCGATAACAGACGCGATTAGAGTTGCCTGGGAAGGCGAAGACGGGATCGAGGCGTACAGTTACCCGTAACTTCACATCTTCCTTTTCACGTGAAGCCCCCGTCCTGGCTTTACTAAATCCGCCGATTCACAGGATTCAGTAAATCCGGGATTTACGGCTGAAATACGTGAAATCCTGATTTATCAAATTCACGGCTTTATTATGTTTGAATTGATCGGCTGGCAAGGTTTTAGGTTAAATCCTGCTTTAAATCCGTTACCAGAAAGCTCCTAAATCTGCCGAACAACAGCTAACAGAGTTTTATTTTGAACATTCAAACCGTTTGGCAGGATTTATGGTAAATCCTGTGTAAATCGTGTTACCAGACAGCCCCCAAAACAGATCTGCTTCTGATTATCTTCTCAAGATTATTCCTCGGACGCTTCCTACTGCTAGATAATTGCGATGCTGTATATCGTTGGTCTGGGTCTTGGGGACGAGAGAGACATTACAATTAGGGGTCTCGAAGCTGTTAAAAGCTGCAAGAAAATCTATATAGAGGCCTACACTTCTCTCCTCTCCTTTGGTCTCTCCACTGATGGTCTCTCCAGAATGGTATGGTTGCATTTTTCGATTTCTGTTAATGATTCATTGGAAATGAACCCTTCATGAATATTTGCAAGATCAAATGTAGGATTTTGTCTTTTGCTCAATTTTTTTTTATTTTGTTGTGGATACTATCTTTTACTATCAAGAAATTGCTTTGAATTTCACTAAATTATTTCAATAATATTAGCTAACATCTCAACTAGATCATGCATGGATATAATTTTAAATTTAAAAATAGTTTTTTGTTATTAAGCTTTTATTTTGTCACACAGAAAGTTTTTTGTATCATTTTATTTGGGAATGCAACACTGTCATTGTCGGGTTCTGAACACCGAATGCAAAAAGTGGAGTGTTGTGTTTGGTAGTCGACAACCAACTTAAAATTTTTGTCGAAAAATCATGAAAAATGCTTTCAATTGATGCATAATGTTGGCCTATAAAAGAAAAGTATAAAACTAAATTAAGTGTTGCTGAGATGAGAATGCTTAGGTGGATGAATAGCCTTACACTTAGAGACAAAATGCAAAACAAATATATCCATGAAAGGTTTGGTATATCTCCGGTGACAGACAAGATTAGAGAGAGTTATCTTAGATGGTTTGGTCGTATTAAATGTCAACCATCTGATGACCGAGTTAGGAGAATAGATGTTTTTGATTTGACTTATGTTTGAAGGGTAGAAGGAGACAAAAAAAGAATTGTGCATGTTGTATAAAAATAATCTTAATATTTTAGAATTAAATGAAAATATGACACTCAATAGGACACAATGGAGAAAGAGGATTCATGTTGCCGATCCCACTTAGTGGGATAAAGACTTGTTGTTGTTGTTATTCTATTTGAGAATACAATGGATGGGGATCTTTCTTGCTGCAAAGTAATTGATACTTTGTAATAAAAAGGAAAATAATATCAAAGATTAGGATATATGTTTCACATTAGGTAAACGACTTCTAATAAAACATAAAGGTTTGTTATTGTATTGAAATGCTTTGTAAAGCTTATTTATTCTTGTGACTTTTCTTGCAGTTGATAATTATTGAGTCGCCAAAAAGGTGCAATATTTGAACTTAATCTATAATGAATGTTGTATGCCATTGTTTTGCAAAGAATATTTAGACACGATGATTATACTTATTTATATCAAACAAGTTAATAGTAGAAATGAATTATATTTTATTTCACAATCATAACTTAAATCCCATATAAATAAAAAACTGATGTTTTCAATATTTCTTAACATCTGCTAATATTATCACAATATTTTGCGTTTCCACAAATAAATTATTTAGTCATGTCATTTCAAAGTGCTACTTAATTGCAACTTTTTTCAAAGGATCATTTAATCCTAAATTATTTTCTTCTAATTTCTTAAGCACATAAAGGTGGACATTATAAGATTAGACCTGATTTGAAATAATTAACTAAGTATGATCAAGTTATGCCCAATATGTTCCAAAACCACACCTAAGATGACTCAACACCGAAAATGGCATTTTAGTATAATAAAATTGAAAAACCAATGTCTGAGTGTAGTGTTAAATAAGTTAGGGTTCCCACATTACGGTCGGATGTGGGTAAAGAAGTTTGTGCATGAAATTAATATTAGGATAGGACCCTCACAAGTAAATTAATGGAATTAGTTGATATTATGATTCGTAGAAAAATAAATATTTTATGTATTAAAGAAACTAAATGAGTTTGAGAAAATGCTAAGAAAATTGATAGTTGGGTTTTAAACTTTGGTGTTCAGGTTAGAATTGTACTAGAAATAGTATAGGTGTAATTATAGATATGAGCTTGAAAGATAATGTTGTAAAAATTAATAGAATTGGAGATAGAATTATGACCCTTAAGATTGTTGTTGATGCTAAGATGTTTAATAGTATAAGTGCTTATGTTGTTCAAGTAGGTTTAGATATAGATTCTAAAGAATGTTTTTGGAATGACCTGGAAAGATTAATACAAATGATACCTCTTGAAGAAAAAAAATTTATTGGAGGAGATTTAAATGGACATGTCGGTAGAGTGAGAAATTTTATAAATATTCATGGTGGTTGTGGTTTGGAGTGATTAATGAAGAAAGTAGAGACATATTAGACTTTGCTTTAGCATATAATTTTGTTATTGCTAATATTTTATTCAAAAAAAGAGACGTGCATATTATTACTTACAAGAATGAATCTAATAAATCAAAAATTGATTATTTTCTTATGAGAAAATGTGACCGTAGAGGGTAAAGATTGTGAGGCAATTCTAAGTGAGAATTTAAGTACTCTACATCGATTATTAGTTTTGGATTTTAAGATTAATAGTTGTAAAATAAAGAATACTAGGATTCATTGCCATAGAATTAGATGGATGCACCTAAAAGACAAAAATAAAATTATTTTTATGAGTAAACTTCAATATTTCAAGATTTGAGATGTTAATGAAGAAGTAAACTCTATGTGGGATAAAACAACAAAACCATTAAATAGGTGGCAGAAGGTATACTTGGATAATTAAAAAGGAATAGTTTCTATAAATAAAAATAGTTGGTGGTAAAATAATAATGTGTAAGTCAAAATAAAATATAAGGAGTTATGTTATAAAAATTGGTTTAAATGTAAAAGGTTAGAGAATTGAAAAAAATATAAAACAACCCGTAGAGTCTGAGGGAACAATTTGTGATGCTGAAAATCATGCTTTTAATGTCTTTATAATAAATTAGATACTAAAGTGAGTGAAAATTATATGTATAAACTAACCAAATAAAGAGAAAAGAAAAGTAAAGATTTAACTCAAGTAAGGTGTATTAAAGATGAAAATCTAAGAGTGTTTTTTTTTAGAAAAAAGATATTCAACATAGATAGGTGAGTTATTTTGATAAATATTTCAGTTAAGTTTCTGAAAATACGATCGATCTTAGTGATCTTAATATCATTAAATATTTCATTTTTACTGTTTTAGTAAAAAAAGTTGATGATACTTTAAAGAAAATCAATGGTAGAAAGTCTGTAGGAACTGATCATATCCCAATTGAAATACTAAAATATTTAGGAGATTTGAGAGTTTCTTGGCTTACTAAACTCTTTAAATTAATTTTAAAAATAAAAAAAAAAGATGCTTGAGGAGTGGATGAAGAGTATTTTGGTCCCCATTTTTAGGAATAAAGGGATGCATGTAAAAGAGTGTGCACATTATAGAGGAATTAAGTTGATGTTTCATACTTTAAAATAATGAGAGAAATGAGAGAGGGTAATTGAACATAGGTAATTGAACATAGGTTAAGACGTATTACAAAGATTTCTCATAATCAGTTTGGATTGATGCAGGGCATGTCTATTATGGAAGTTATATATTTATTGAAAAGTTTGATGGAGAAGTACAGAGAGAATAAGGAGGAACTCCATTTGATTTATATTGATTTAGAAAAAAAGCTTACAATAAGGTCCCAAGAGATATCCTTGGAGAGCTCTAGAGAATAAATATGTTAATATGATATATATTCAAGTCTTTATAGATATGTATACTAGAGTTGTTACTTGTGTTCGAACAGAAGGAGGATTGACCAATTATTTTTCTATTTCAGTTGGATTACATCAGGGATCGACTTTAAGCCCAATCACTGATCAACTTTTTAGTTATGGATGCTCTTACTAGACATTTATAGGAGGATTTACCTTAGTGTATGCTTTTTGTTTTTTGCTGATGATATCTTTCTTGTGGATAAGACTAGAGAAAGAGCTCAGGAAATACTTGAATTATGGAGGTCTACTTTGGAGTTTAAAGGCCTTCGTTTGAGTAGAACGAAAACTGATTACATAGAATGTAAATTTAGTATTAGTAGCTCTAGTGATAAAGTTGTAACTATGGGTGATCAAATTATTAAAAGATGTGAACGTTTTAGATATTTCAGTTATATTGTTCAAATTGATGGTGATATAAATGGAGATATTATTAGTAGAATTCAAGTTGGTTGGTTGAAGTGGAGGAATGCTTCCGACATATTGTGTGATAGAAAAGTACCGCTTAGATTGAAAAAAAAATTTTATAAGATGATGGTGAGACCTGCAATGCTCTATGGTGTAGAATATTTTCCTTTAAAAGAGAAGCATAAAACTAAATTTAGTGCTGCCGAGATGAGAATGCTTAGGTGGATGAGTAACTTTACTCTTAGAGACAAATTGCAAAATGAATATATCCGTGAAAGGGTTGGTGCAGCTCAAGTGGTGGACAAAATTAGAGAGAGTCATCGTAGATGATTGGTCACATTAAACGTTTACCGTCTGATGATCCGGTTAGGAGAGTAGATGTTTTAGATTCGACTTGTGTTAAGAAAGACAGAGGTAGACCTACAAGGACTTGGGCATATTGTATAAAAATTATATTAATTTATTAGAATTAAATGACAATATGACACTCAATAGAACGCAATGGAGAAAAATGATTCATGTAGCCGACCCCACTCATTGGGATAAAGGCTTGTTGTTGTTGTACAATTGAAAAACACTTTAAGCTGATGCATTTTCTTATCGGCACTAAATCACTTTATCCATCTTTAATCCTTAGGAATCACAAAGATAACAAAATTTTGTGGCTCCATATAGCAACACTAAGCATAGATGAATCAACCACATAGATCTCGACACACTTTGGTTGTTACCAATATAAGCACTATTGGAAATATTGAGAGATGGAAATGATATCTATAAAATTTAGTGGAAAAAGGAGATCAAGTGAAATTTGTTTTAAAAAAATATTAGTTTTGATAAAAACGATAGGCTCCACAAAAACTAAATGATAAAATATTTTAATTTTTTTGTAAAGAGTTTTTTGCAATATGGCCAGAAAAATTTATTAATTTTACTACAGTGCAAGATGAGATATTTATTAAGCTTTGGAGAGTTATGAATGATATTGCAGTGATTTAGTTAGCAAATTTTTTCTGTAGAGTTTTAAAGACTAAATGATTATAGAAATATTTCAATTCCAATATTAAAAAAAATATATATGTTGTTTAC